TTAGCTCACCTGATCCTCTCATCACCTTGTCAAAGCTGGTACTGGTACTGTCATCCCCACTTCACAGACGGGGAAACTAAGGTTCAGAGCAATCATGTTCCCACAATCATACACAGCGAACAAGAGGCAGGGCCAGGATTCGAACCCAGATCCAACCAGCTCCACAGGCCTTGCTAACATCCACTGAGCACCCTGATATGCCAATCCTGAGACCTGAGGGTTCCCTGCAAGATCAGAGTCCTCCAGACCCAAGTTGAGATCCATCCGTCAGAGCTGGAAGCCCAGAGAGTCGAGATACCTGCTCCCAGCAACACACGCACCCTGCACCCTTGCCTAGGGAAAGATTTCAGCCAAGCTGGTGCACACTCAGTGGGACTCAGGTGCCAAAAGCCACCCAGAAGCCAGAAGTCGGGGCTCACACTTCACTGTGCTGGGGGACCATGGCCCCAGCCCTTGCCTTTCTGAGCCTCAGTCACCTCTTCGACGTAGTAGGAACAAAAGTTCTACCCACTGCATGATGGGGCAAGGGATGGAATGGGTCACCTGCTATGACCTGGGTGGGAAGAGCACAATGCAAAGACATTGACATAGAACAGAGTAAAAGTCAAGGCCACAAACCTGGACAAAGCAGCCCAGGAGAAGATAATCAACCCTTAACGGGGAAGCTGAACTTCCCAACACCACCCAACCCCAACATCCATCCCCCAGCACTGGAAGCTTGAGGGTTCAAAGGGCCCATTCCCAGAGTGTCTTAAGAGCCCTGCAGTGGGCATCAAAGAAGAGGACTCTGCCTGGCCCACCCCGTGGGGGGCTAGGATCCCCACCAGTGAGGGAAGAGCCCTCACCGCACAGATGAGGAAACTGAGGACCAGAGCAGGGAGAGAGTTGGCCAAGATCATCCAGTTCTCCTTCCCTCTGGCTTCTCATTTCATTCTAGAATTCCTCTGGGTAGTTCCAGGGGAAGGGGTTGGGGCCCAGGTTGGAGGGAAGTCCCTCACTCCCCATAGCAAGGAGGAGGGAAATGGCGGTGTTGGCTTCCAGCTCTAAGATCCTCTCCAATCACTGACCCCTTGACTCAGCCCCACCCAGGCTGTCCTGTGGGAAGGGGCAGGCTGGCTGGGTAGGGAGAGCCCTGGATCAAAAGACAAAAGATGTGCATTTTCCTCCCAGCTTGGATAATATGTCCTGGGTCTTTCTGGCCTCATTTCCCCCATCTGTGAAGAGAAGGTCAGAATAAATCAGGAATAACAAACTCATGGCACACATAGGATGTTCTTTAATCCTCTGCCCATGGCAGACATTACAAGTCTATCACAGTACTCTTTGCCATGAAGCCAAGACTGAGCCACATAGCAGTCCAGGTCTGGAGAATTTGAGCCCCAGGCCATCCCAAGACTGGATAATATCTGAGCCCCCCCTGAGGGGAGAGAAGGGAGACTTAGCATTTCCTGAGTATCCAACAGAGTCGAGCCACGGGAGACAGGAGCTGATTTAATCTTCACAAGGGAGAGGTGCCGAGGCTGAGGCTCAGCAAGGCTACATGGCTTGCCTTTGGACACAGGGGAGGTATCTACTGGACCACCCTCCCCCAGAACGGTGATGCAGAGCCAGGCGTCAGCCACCAAGTAAGCCCCTAAGGTACAGCCTCACTCCATTCTCCCCTGGGCCCTACCAAGTGCAAGCCTCATGCCCATTCTACAGGTTCAGAAACTGAGTCACAGGAAAGGGCGTCAGCTGCCAGAGGAAGAAGGACTGCAGCCCGCGTCTGGTTCTTCCCCACCCCTATTTATCAAGTTAATGCATTAAATACATTGTGTCAGTCCTCTCAGGACATCGTGGGAGCCATGACTCATATTATCCCACTTCAGAGATGAGGAAACTGAGGTGCCCCAAAGGAAGTGCCTCCCCCAGGGGTTCAAATGGAAACCAGACAGTTTACCAGGGAGATAAGGGGGTGGGGACTGTGGAAGGGAAGTAAAGGGCTATGGGAACCCAAAGGGAGATAGAGGTGTGGGGGATCACATGACAGAGGCAGGAAATGAGGCTCTAGTCGAAAGGCCCAAAGCAGGGGGCAGAGGCCCTTTGAAGTGGCTCTAAGGCCTACAATGACATGGGAGGCTCCCGCAGCTCCCAGCACTGGACTAGGAGCCCAGAGCCCTACAGCCTTGGCTCAGCCCTGTCACTTGTCAACTGGGAGACCCTAGTCACGCTCTAGTCAAGAGGCTTCTCCTCTCTGGCTCTTAGAATGTTCATCTGGGAAATGAATCAGCCTCGCCTAAGGCAGGCTTTCAAGAAGCTGGGGTGAGCAGGACCCTCCTCCCCAGGTCAGCCTCGTCACACAGAGAAGGCAGGGCAGAACTAGAGTCACCCAGAACTTGGTGGCCCTGGCTGCCAACATCCCTTCCTGGGACAGTCCTGCCCAGACCAGCACCTTTAGACTCAGTGAGATCATCCACTCAAAGCCTTCACCACACAGCTGGCGAGGCGAGACCCACTGGGCCAACCGACCTGCCCATGTAATGCCAAACAAGTGCCTACCGGTGCCAGGCACTGGGCATACAGCCCTCCTTTAACCCTTGCCTGATGGGGAGATAGTTATTGTCCTCATTTTCAAGACAAGGAAACTAAGTCTCAGATACAATGAATGGCCCAAAGACACACAACAAGTTAAAGACGGTCAGATCTGTCTGACTCCTGAGCCCTTACCATACCTTCGGTCTCCAGCTGACCCCTCGCTCCCCCCCACCTCACTCCCAGCCTCCAGCTGCCCTGCACTGCACTTCCCCAGCCCATCGCTCTCACTCTCTCCTGCCTTCCTGCTAGTGAACTCCTACTCGACTTCCAAAGGCCAGCCTCAAATGCCTCCTCCTCTTGACCTGATCTAGGCCTCCACAGAATACTCCATCCCACAGATCTAGTTCTACCAGAGGCCTTGGCCAGCTCTGTACCCCTGGCCTTCAGCACGGAGCTGTTCACACAGGGGACACCAATCAGCTCTCTGTGTGAAATGAAGGCCAAACTACTCCTCAAGGCCCAATGGTCCAGCTCTGTTGTAACACCCCTCGTTTCACCTCTCACCCAATCCTCTTAATTCTCTGTGCTCCAGATTCACGGGCTTTCCCACTGTTTCTCCACAACAGCACATATTCCTCCACCACAGGGCCTTTGCACATGTCGTTTCCTCCGACAAGCCCTTCCCCTAGCTCAGCCGTGGGCAAACTACGGCCCGCGGGCCGGGTCCAGCCCATTTGAAATGAATAAAACTAAAAAAAAAAAAAAGACTGTACCCTTTTATGTAATGATGTTTACTTTGAATTTATATTAGTTCACACAAACACTCCATCCATGATTTTGTTCCGGCCCTCCGGTCCAGTTTAAGAACCCATTGTGGCCCTCGAGTCAAAAGTTTGCCCACTCCTGCCCTAGCTCCATGCCTGACCAACTCCTCCGCGCTTCCTTCAAGATTCCTCTGTATCCCACACCTCTTTCTCTGAGCCCTTATCACATCTGTGATTATATAGTAATACATTTGGCAACTTGTTTGCTATTTGGCTCACCCTCCAGACCCAAATTTCTGGGAGGCCAGGGATCTCTTCACAATTCCCCAGCAAGAACCCACCCAGGCCAACTCCTCCCCACAACCCCAGGGGCCCTGGGAAGTATCAAAAGCAAAGAAAGAAAACCCTGTCCCCTTGTTAAGTGAACTGCTACTCCTCTCAGCACCACCTCCTCGAAGCCTCCCAATGGCTCCCTACAGCTCCCACTGCTAACCCCCTCACCACACTGCTCAGCCTAAGTTCAAAGCTCCTAGTACACAGTCGGTGCTCATGGTCATGGGTGCTTGTATCAAGGTGGGTTTGGGAAAAACGGGGTCCACTGAGGGCCAGGGCGGTGAGAGGGTGTCTGTCAACAGATCACTGAGCCATCTCCTGCCTAGTTCCCAGGGCACAATCAGGGAAGAAGCAAAAGCAAGAACTGGCTATGAGCTAGGGATAATTCAAGCTCCAGGAAGAGGCTAAGGGAGAGGAGGAGAAAGCTGGGGGAGAGGTGGCAGAGGAGGGCCTTCCTGGGAGAGGTGGGCCTTAAGCTAAGCCTCAAAGGGCAAGAGCAGATAAGCAGGTCGGAGGAGAGGGCAGCCCTGGCAGGGACAACTTCAGGAGCAAAGGCCCAGGGGCCACATAGGAGGACCTGGCCAGGCAGTCAGCTGACAGAGGTGACACACCATAAATCATTTCCCTGGGTGGAAAGACCACATCACCAAGACACACCACATCACCTAACGGCTCGTGTCTTCCATGCAATCACCCATCGGTATAGTCTTTTCCGACAATGCCATGTGCCTGGTCGCACACCGGGCAACTCCTGCTCCCCCAACACTGGACGGGTGTGAGGGCAGCCGGACTGGGGTCCCTGAGGTCTAGGTTCTAATTCCGTGTCAAACTGTGTGGCCCTGGTCAAGTCACTTCCCCTCTCTACACCTCAGTTTCTCCATCAGCAAAACGAGGATAAACAAGAGTTCCTACCTCGCAGGAGGTGCTCAGTAGATGTTGGCAGCTATCATTCTCATTGGCCCATTTCAAAACGGAGGCCAGAGGGAGCAGTGCGTTGCCTACGGTCACACAGCGGCTGGGTGGCAGGGCTGTGCTGGGGCTGTTTCTTTCTCAGGGGGTTATGGGGTGCCTTTTCCTCTCTGGAGACGAGTCCCACCAGGGCCTATGACCTCACCTCCCACCCAGTTTAGGAAATCATCCAGTGAAGTGCTCATTTATTAAGCACCTACTACACGTCAAGCCCCTACATGCAGAAACACATAGGTTCTTGCCCTAAGGATTCCCATTCCACATATGGGAATTCAGAGGGCAGTCCCTTGGCCCAGGTCACCCAGTGAGATGAGAGCCTGGTATCCCCAGCCAGGAGGCTGAGAAGAGGGTTGGCAGTAGGACCAGCCCAGCCCATTCTTGAAAACAGTCTGATCTCCACTCACTGTAGCTGGGCCTGGACTCACCCCAGTTCACCCAGGCACCACTGCTCCAATTGTACAGAATCCCTGAAGTTCAGAAAGCCTCACCCAGGGCCCCACATGCTCTGTCCACGCTCAAGCTGGCCTGAGAGCCCCCGAGACTGAACTGAGAGCCCACAGGTGAGATACTGTGTTCACCCCCGTCCTTCCACCAGCCCAGTAATCCCAGCCAGGCCCACTGGCCACGGATGAAGACCCTCCAGCTCAGAGAGGGAAGGCAGTTAGTTGTCTGAGGATACCCAGCAGGGACACCCAGGCCCAACCCCAGGCCAGGCAGGCAGGTGGACCCAGCCTGGTGGTGAAAATCCAAAACTTTTGTCAACTTCTGGGCAGGTAGGCCTCTGGGCCCCATCAGGGTGAGTCTGGGGGCTGGGCACAGGAGGGCCCAAGCACAGTCTGGCCCAGTCCCTTCCAAGCCAGTGGCACCAGACCCTACCCACAGCCCCAGGAGGACAGAGATTCTGGTGCCCAGCACGGCGCCCCCAGGCCTGGGTGCTGCGGGACCCCCCCTCCACCTCCCATCCTGGGCCGGGGGCACCAGGCCCGGCTGGCTGCCGTGGCCAGAGGTGGCGCCGACTGGCTCAGATTTTAGATTTGGCCTAGACCCGGCCTGAGGGCTTGGGCCGGCTGGCTATTCTCAGGGGGCTCTGAGGGGCAGGGTGAGGCGGAACAGGACCCTGCAGGGACAGGACTCCGGAGCCCCCCGCCCAGCCCCCTCCCTCCGCCGCATCACAACAAAAGGCCGACCTGGGCAAAAGCCGGTGCGCCCGCCCAGCGCTCCGAGACCGCGGCTCCGCCGGGGTGGGGGGTGGAGGGGTGGACAGGAGCCCCCGCGGCCCGGCGATCCGACGCCAGGGTGGTCCCGGACGGGGGCTCCCCAACACCGGCTGAGACAGGGCGCCCACGGAGGGGCGGGGGTGTGCTCACCTGGGCCGCGGACAGGCGGGCGCACCAGCAGGCAGACGCACGGGAGGGCGGACCGCCAGACGGCCAGGGGGTCGGGCAGACGGCGGCCAGGCCGCTCCGGCTCCCAGGCCGGAATGGATTCCGGGCCGGGAGAGACAGAGCGGGAGAGAAAGGGAGGAGGAGAAGGAGGAGGAGGCGGCCCAGGGAGGGAGGGAAGAAGAGGGAGGGAGCGCACGAGCGGGGAGGAGGGGCCCGGCAGGCCTCCGGGAGGAGGAGGAAGGAGGAAGCGCGGAGGGAGGATTCCCCGCCGGTGACTCGAGAGACCCGTGCGCGGCCCCCTAGCACTGGAGCCACCGGGGGGGGGGGGGGGGGGGGGGGGGCGGGGGGGAGGGACCGAGGCACGCGGAGCAGGAGACCCGCCCCCCACCCCGCCCGGTAAGAACGCCCCACCCTGGAGGACCCCCATGGGTCCTTGTGCCAAAATGCCCCTCTTTAATTCCCCCCAATCCACCCACCCTATTTACTCCAAATCTACTTCTGTTGCAATATTAGTAATAGTAATTAATAATAATAATAATGATAATAATATCAGCACTAATGAAGCCCTCGTTTCTTTCCAGGTGCCATGCTAAATGGCTCTGGTAGGCTTTAGGATCCATTCCTAACAACCAGCTGGACTGGGGGGATGATTATCTCCATTTTACAGATTAGGAAACTGAGGCAGGGAGAAGGGGGTCACCTACAAGAACCTAGACCTTGGACTCTGATCTTAGTTTCCCAAAGTGGGGACTGGGGCCTGAGACACAGTGTGGAGAAGAGACACATGTATTTTTAATAGATTCGTGTTCATTTTAATGTGCTCTTTTTAAAAAAGCAACTAAGGCAGCCCATTAAAGTCACCAAGTTCTGGATATTATTGCTGAGGAAGGGGCTGAAGCAGGTCTTTAGTGATAATTATTACCCTTTTAAGCAGATAAAAAGGCGAAGTGCACCTGGATGCAGGGAGCAGGGAGTAAAGCCGAGAAAGTGGACACTGAGGAAATGCCGCTTTAGCCACAATGCCACCCACCACCACTATCTGACCTCACCTTACTCCCACCCCTCCTGGCCCAGGCTGCCCTACTGGGGGTCAGCACCACACCCACCCTGGTTCTTCACCTGTCCTCCTGGAATCATTGCCGGAATCAGCTTTAAATGCCGCTGTTTCCTTCTCTGAAAGTTCTCCCATTTCACTGATGAGAAACTAAGGCCCAGCCAGGTCAACTGGCACCAGGCCTGGATACCTCCTGAGAGGAGCTGGGAGGAGAACCCTAGCATATGGGAGGCAAAGGCCTCAGGGCATAAAAATAGCACCCAGGAGACCAGAAATGAGCAAGGCCCTGAGCCAGACTGATCTGGGTTCAAATGTAAGCTATTTGCCTACCTGCTGCACCTTGTACAAGTCATAGGAGTGAACATGGTCACAGATGACTCCTGGGAAGTTTAAAACTGACAAGTATGAGGGTGTTTGAGGTTATGCTCCACAAATGGTAACTCTTATGCTTAGTAAACTGAGGATTGAAGGGGGAGGGGCTGCTGGAAGTCACATAGCAAGCCAACGGAAGAGCCAGCACCAGAGGCCATCCTCTGCTGGTGACTGGTGAGATGGCTTCACTTGTTTACAAGGCTGGCTTACAGATTAACCTCAGCTTCCCAGGATTCTGGGCGGGCCCCTGGCTGGAGAAGCAGGTTTCTCAACCCTCATTCACTCTGCAGACATAGCTGAAGGTCTTTATTGGCCACATGGAGCGAGGGATGAGATATTCATCCAGTGATGTGCTGGGGCTGGATCTTACCACTTGCAAGAGCAAATTTTCTTCATCTTTTCCCAACTTCAACCTCAATGATTGGTAGCTTGATATCAGTCACTGTGGGATTATTTACACCTTGGAAATTGGCAAACACTGCAAATTAAGGCTTTTTTCCCCCCTTCCAGAAAGCTGGTTGTTAAATACTCACCAGCACATCACTAGATTTATGCCCAAGAGTTCAAGTGAAAGTCCTGGGCTCCTAGAGCAGGGATGGCAAAGGCCTTAAAAGTAGAGACTTTGGACCCACAGACCTGAGTTCAAGTCTCAACTTCTTGGATGTGACCTTGAGCCTGCCATTTCTCTGAGCCTGAAAAATAGGCTACATATTGTGCGTCCCTCAGAAGACTCATGTGAGGATGAAATGAGGTGCTGTAAGCTCAGTATGTGTGACCCCTTGTCATTCATACCGCTACACACTCTCTTGGAGCAGCGGGGATCATCTGTACAAGTCTTGGCTTTGCCAGCACAGATGTAGCCTTCTGTCTGGAACCACTGGCTCCGAGGGCTTGTCTCAGCTGCTGAGGCTCTCAGGAGGCACTTCAAGAGGATGTGGCCAGCACAATGGTTTTATTATTGAGCCTTGGAAATATTCATTATTTTCAGCCATCCCTCCGGGCCTTTGCCCTGCCAGGAATGCTCACCCCATATCTCTAGCTTCCCAACCCTCCCTATCCATCAAGGTCCCAAGTAAATGCCATATCCTCCAGGACATGCTTCCTGAAATGCCTCTGATGGAGGCATACCCCATCCATTCGAGGTGTCCCCATCCATTCGGGGGGTGTCTGTCCTCACTCTGAAGGCAGGCACGATGGCCTGGCCCTTGCCCAGCACAGAGCAGATGCTGCCCAGTTGGCTGGAGAGAACACACTGACTAGGGATCCACACACAAGAGCTCATTCATGTTCCAACTCTTTCAGTCCTTGACTCTGTGACCCCGCCCTCTCTGAGTCTCAGTTTACTCATCAATAAAATGGGGCAACAACCCCACCATCTCCCAGGATTATGCAGATGCAAGAGTTGGTGGTCTGGCCTGATGGATAAGTGACTCTTTCTGCATTATTTTGTTTAAAATTGTTAGTAAAATAGCAACTCATTGCTTAATACCCCCAAATCATTCATCATCATTAATGGACAGCAAACATTTATTGACCACCAATGATATACACAGCCCTGGGCCAGGCCTGGAACACCAAGGACAGTTTCCCAACCCAAAGCACCCAGCAGATGACAGATGTTAATGTCAACATTGTTGAGATGGTGAACACCTGTTGTACACACTCGTCTATCTCTAGATACCGCTTCCCCTCCTTCCCCCCACCTGGATCAAAGCCATACCTGAGGGCAGGATGGAGACAGTGGCGTGAGGCCTGGCGCCACACAACTGGCAACAGACTCTTTGGCAAGAGCTTTCCCATGACACAGGATCTGGGGCACTTCCCACACCTCACCCAGGACCCTGATGGCTCTGGCTTGATGGTGGTCTATTTGCTGTGCCCACTCCAAGCTCTTGGAGCAGTGACCAGGAGGCTGGACCCATCACAGGCACTCAGCGGCAAATTCCAGACCAGCCCTGTCATTCCCCAGATAATTTGCTGTGAGTTGTCTGTTCAAAGCCACCTGGCTCAGGGCATAGGTCAGGGTGGAAATATGTGCAGGCTCTAGCTTGAGGTTATGGAATGGGCTTGCCACCTCCATGGCACTGCAATTTACCCAGAGATATCTGGTTCCTCGGTACATCAGCTGATCAGGCCCTTACCAGCCACTCAGGCCTCCCTTGCAGGCTCTCTTCCCAACTCTGTCCAACCTGCATCTGTGCTGTAACTCCGTCACAGCAGCTCCTTTCATCCTGAGTCCTCTACCCTTGCTGGTCCCTCTGTCTGAAGCTCTCTCCACCCCCTAGCCTCTGACTAAGCCTTACTCTTTCTTCTGGTCTGTCAATATCTCCTGAGCATCTACCATGTTCTGTACTAGGTGCTAGGGATACAGAGGTAAACAAACTAGATCTGGTCTCTGCCTGGAGTTGCTCATAGCCTGGAGGAGCAGGGAAGCATGACCAGAGTTCTAGGTGGTGATGGGGCAAGCGCAGGAGGCTGGAGGGGCGCAGAGGAGCGGCCCTAACCCAGCATGCGTGTTGGAATAGCAGGGCCAGTGAAGAAAGGAACTGTCTATGAAGAGTACAGAAGCCTGAAGACATGGTTTCAGGTGACAATGGACAGAGAAGGTGTCCAGGCAGAGGGAACAGCATGAGCAAAGGCACAGAGGCCAAAAATACTGCTATGTTTGGAACTCCAACCAGAGCAGTGCTAATGGAACACAACCTGATGGGTGGCTGGAGTGGGGCAATTGGGGTGGGACTTCGGGCTG